GAAAAAGTCTGCTCAATCGAATTGCGACCAGAGGAGCACGCCTCAATTTTTTTTCCTAACGCTTTTCCTTGTAAAAGAAACAACCAATCGAGCCTTCGACCACGGACTCACCGAACCCTGTCTTCGTTTCTAAACTCCAAGACTAGCATCTCGATAATCTCTTCGCAGAAGGGACCATGCAACACAGACCCAGGAACGAAAAATATTCAATGTCCCCATAATCTATTTCACTTCCGTACCGTTCACCATGCTCCGCTGCGTCGCACAGTGGAACAAACCGTGTAAAAACAGCGACATGGACGAAAATTTCAATCACGGATTCTGACTTTTTAACTATCTCGATATTATGCTTGGATATTAAGGCACAAGGAATCACAAAGAAAAATGTTTTTTAAGTTGTTTACAATCTGATTTTTTAACGATTTATGCATGAATATCAACCTTCCGAGGCTCCTATTCTCAGAATTGCAATATCTAATATTTAAATGCAAATCAATTTTTCATTTTCACCATATTGTTATACATATGTATACTATTTTATCATTCAGAAATTGAGAGTTCGACGATTTAATTTTGGAAATTTCACCCTTTAAGAAAATTGATGTTTTTGTTGATTTCATAAAATGTTTAGGTTGTTTAAAACTTTTCTATGCCAAATTAATCCGCAAAGATCCTACTTCAAAAAAATGTAAACACTTTCTGCAACGATCTGCGACCTTGCAAATAAATCGTGTTTTAATAAATGGAGAGAGGACGCAACGCATTTGCTGCTACTAATATGGGATTGTCTGCCCCCAGGATTGTATACATTATTATTAAAAATATTTGTTTTTGTCAACGTAAGAGTTAGCTTTTCATATTACAGTAGAACTTCGTTAAATTTCTTGGAATACTGCATTAAGCGAGCCCCAATCGCCCGTTCACTTGTTCGACGTAGTTAGAGTATTGTTACACATTGAATTAACACATCGACTGCCACAGTGAAAAAGGCTGTACGTAGTCAGACACACCTTATTTTGTTTTTAAAGTCATAAATCGTTGAAAATGTATGCGTTTTGTTAATAGAGGCTGTTGGTCGTGTTTCAAATTATACTGTAATATTAAATATTACGCAAAAATTTTGCAACTCTAGGAAGGGTGGGCGAGGGGGGAAATCCAATTTTTTTTCTTGTAGAGTGGAGCAAAAGCCACTTTTTTCCGTCCAGGGGGGGCAAGTGCCGTATGTACTCTGTTCCTTCCTTGCTGGGCGACAGAGAAAAGTGCATGCACGTGTATAAGAAAAAGAAATACGTGTGAGTGAAGGGCGTTCCTGACAGGAACTTCCTGTGCTAAAATAAATCAACCTGCAATACACCAGCACCTGCTGTGTAACACCATTAATTAAAGGAATCTGTTTTACCTACATCGGATATCAACGGTCGATATTGAAACCATTGACCTTTGACTCTGTATCATATTATTACATATGTATTAATTATATGTATATTGATAAAACCCGAATATTCTGTAGGCAGAAACAAAAAGATTGTGATAGTGAATAGGACATATTCTAACAGTATAATATACGTATCTATTTAATGCATCCTGCAATAATATTTTTTGCATTATAACAAGAAAACCAGACCGAAAGAAACACAATGAATTTGTTTATTGTAATCAATTAAGAATGAGCTGAAAATAAATTAAAATATTGAATTTTCCCTTCAATTTACCATATGTAGCTTAAGGTTTAATTATTTCTGCAAATAAGCTTCTCAATTCTATTTCTACGTTAAAGAAAGGGGAAATTACATTTCAGACTTTAGAAATTATAAATATAACGGACCGTGTGATCATGAAACTGATTTTGTAAGTATCACCTTAAAGCTTGAACTGTTGAACCAGATAAAAAAAAACAAATATCCTTCATCTCGATGTTCTCGTCTATTCGAGGACATCTGAAGAAAGTGAATTTTAACGGAGGTTGTCAGCACCGGTGTCCAAGAAAGGAGAGATCGAAAAATTATGCAATGGGCTTTGGTAATTTAAACCTCTGATGGTTAACGAACTCCATCAACCAGTCCTTGTGCAGCAGCAAGTCACTTTTCATTCTTTCATTGACTCTGTAGGAATTGTTTTCATTTTAGTTGCGTTAAAAATTAAAACTTTTCTATTATCTAAAATTTGTTAATAAAAAAATAATTCCTGCAGTTAACAGCAATGACGATACGTACGGGTGAATCAGACTTGAAGAAGCTTACTTACATCACAATCTTAAAATTCTGATTTTATTTTAAGAATGTTGGGAATTACCGCCCGATGAAAAGTAATATTGATGTTTCTGTCTGGTACTGAAATCATCTCTGTTCGTTGTAATTCTAACGAACCCGTCCCCCTTTAAAGTAAAATAATATGGGCGGAGAAGTAGGATGGATCTGCACGAACACTAATATACAATGTTTATATGTGTGTAATGTTCACACTTAAGTGTCAAAAGTTTACAATAGTAACCAGCATCAAAACAGGTGCGTTCATATGAGAACTAAAAGTGAAACACGGAGTAATTATAAAGTTTTATATGTTTCTAGATAATATAAATACACTATCTCATCCAGATGAAACGAAAGTAACGTTAGTACCAATTAGAGAAACTGTTATTTTACATTGCAATCTCAGTAGATGTAAAATATGTTAAGAACGAAAAAATTTTAAGAACGAACTGTGAAATATATTGCGTGGCATAACTACAAAATCACCATAAAATTTTCAATCCTTATGTATTGTGGTTAAAATAAAAACGAACCACTTTTTTTTATAAATAATGAATAGTACACCATATTTATGATCAATTTTCGTTTTAACTTCAAGATCACTGGTGTTCATGCGCAAGGCAATAGGAAACAAATACTTTAATTTACAATTAAATGTTCCGAAAATTTTTTACTTGATTATTTAGTCATACGTATATGTATATATATCCTCCTTATGTCAGATCTATGAATGCAAAGCAATTGAATATAATGATGCTATGAGAAACTCGTTTAGCATTATAGACTTTAACATTTATGGAATTTAAAATTTATAAAATTACACATCTATATTTGGCACATATAAGAGAAGATATATGTATACATATACATACATCATGAAAAATATACCTTGAAATCAAAAATTAATCTAATATGAAATTTATTACGATTTTTGAAGCGATTTTTTAAAAAATCGATTCTTTGTATTAGATTTTTAAGGGAATCGATTTTCCATGTTTCTTTGAAGAGAATCGAACATCCCTAGTGTATAGTGTATTAGAATATCTTCCTAACGAATCTATCAAACTAATCGCTACTGTGAAATTCAAGGTCATTAAAAACTGACACATTAAAACAGGCAGATTAGTCAACGGAATCACCCAAAAAGTGAATCGAATGACTCGTTGCGTCGCGATCTATGGAATTCTGTTGATCGACCTTGAAGTGAGAGTGAAAGTCTTCGTAGGTATTTTAAAATGGAAATCGTTCACAACCGGATTTCGTAGTGAAACCAAACTCATTCTGAAAAAAAACTAGTGCTATGTTACTCATAAATTACTGGGTACACTAGTCTATTTTGAAAATATGTTACCAGAGATACATCTTCTCAATAATTAATTTTTACACATTATGAATAGATAAATGGAATTCGGTACATCAATTAATATACAGTACGTAAGACCCTTTTGAATTGTTTCAGGAATTGGTTTCATTCATTTCATTTTATTTCATTCATAAATTTAACTAGGTCATCGATTGATCCCGTTTGTCAGTTGGGAAACGACTATTGTAAGTAGTATAACTCATCGCGTCAGACATACATATTTCACGCGTATTTTGCCCGTATTTTTAGCAATTAATAACTCGAAGACGAAGCATTGAATGTAATTTCTTCCTTCTTGATTTTCGTTTTACAATCAGATTGGTCTGTAGAATCCACTCTGTGAAAGGATCCCACATTTTGATTGATATACATAGCCTGCAGACTTCAAGAATTGTAGAATTATATCCTAATTAGTGCAGATTCAGGGTGATTGCCGTGTGCCTCGAAATTATATCGGTGTTTCAGGTGCTTGAATCATAAATCCATCGTGTAAAAGTTGAAGCAATATCCAAACTTCATTGCTTGGCGTCAACCAATATATTATTACTTTCAGCATTTTTTTGCTAAATTCATGCAACTGAATTAAAAAATCAAACTACTGATATGTAGACTACCCTATAAAATATATACAGTTTTCATCAACGGTACTTATCATAAAAATTTATTTCCGCGTTAAAACATTAAAGTTGATTATCCAACAATCGTACTTAAATTTACATGTGTTATGTGGTCTGTCACGCTTTCCCACTTTAAATTTGAAACGAGCACACGAGGTCAACGTAATTGCATTGATGGATGCTGATAATATACTTTCTTCGTATCATCCTACTTTCTTTACAAGGTCAATTTAAAATTAACCCCTACGAATTCACTATACATAATCTTTTCGATGTATACAAATGTCAAATAATTTATATGCATACAAGGTGTTTCGGAACTGGCGATACTGCCTGCAGTGTGATTCTGCATGCAAAAATAAGTCGAAGATGTAGAATAAAATATTTTTATATGATGCTTCGTTATCAAGATAATTGAGTTTGAAAGTGTGTATTATATTCTGTTTCTACGTACATATTGTCAATACGCATGCATACTGTATAAGTATATGTTAAATGAATTTTAAAATTCGATTATTCTGAAAATGAAACATCGTAGGAAACCATTGTATTCTACATTTTGTACATTACTGTAGTATGCTTAAACCAATTTGAAAAATGTCCAACGGTTTGTTTTAGTAATGTCACAAAATATTAATTTCTCTTAATACCAGGTTATGAATTACGTAGATTAAGAGATATAACAATTATTTTGGTTATATAAATGTTAATTATATTATATTATTCGATAAAATAGTCATACTAAATTTGGTTTTATTCTTCATTTTACAGGTAAAATTTCGGCAATTCTTATAGGAATTCTGACGCTTGTGATCGGTATTATCTTAAGTAGTATACCTTGGGTGGACTATGTTATTTTAAAGGTACGTATGATATTTTCTATTTGCTATATTAATTAATAATATATTACCATGATCTGCAGAACGTTAAAGAACCTAATAAGTAAAGAACATGAACTGTTGACACAAGTTCCCTAAACACTTCTTTATTATATGTATATACCACATAGCACAAAAACGTCTTATGTACTTCCGGAGGACGTACGTTCCGGACGTTCTGTACATTCGGAGGATGTCCCGAAAAGGTCCATATGTCCCCGTTAGGTCCTCGTTAAGATCTTTAAATGTCCTAGGAAGGTCCTACTTACAAAGTTGAACGTCCCGAGAACGTCCTGTGTGGACATTCTCAGAACGTTCTCCGAATGTGTAAAAGTAACATTCTCTGTACGTTTTGGGAACGTTTAAAGAGTTTTTAAAAACTCTATGGTAATGTCTTAAAAGACGTATAAGAAACGTTTCCCAAATGTTTAAAATTACGGTTAAATTTCATTCTGTGCAAGGTGATAGAAGTTAGGTTAGGTCGGTTTGTTTTTAATAAATAAAATATTAACTTTCCTGCGATCTCCGTAGAATTAGTAATTTAACTTAGTAGAAATTAGGTTAAGTTAATTCCTGTTAATAAATAAAAGGTTTTTTTTCTATAAGGAATTATAATGAAAATATAGATTTTGGGGTTATGATCTGTGTGTAGTTTGCGTTTATTTATATTTTCGAAGCAAAATACTGATTGTGTGTTGGTTAGAGACAGTGTAAGAAAAAAATGTTTTTTTCGAATTTCCTGAGTTTTCCGTACAAAACCAATAGTATCGTTACACTTCTCTATTGATTCTCTAAAGAATGACACCTTGCTCATGGAGTTCTATCACCTTGCACGGAATGACATTGAGCCAAAATTACTAAACAAAATCATCCGGAATTTAAATTCTACGAACATTCGTAAGACTTAAGAAACGGACTGTCTTAGAACATGTGAAATTTAAGTCTTGAGAACATCCGTAGGACTTTCGAAACGGACCTTTTCAGGACATCCGAAATTTAAGTCCTAAGAGCATTCGTAAGATTTCAATAACGGACATTCCTAGGACATGTGAAATTTAAACCTTGAGAATATCCGTAGGATTTTCGGGGCGGACGTTTTTAGAACATCCGAAATTTAAGTCTTGAGAACATCCGTAGGACTTTCGCGCCGGACGTTTCTAGAACATCCGAAATTTAAGTCTTACGAACATCCTAGGGATATTCGAAATGGACGTAGGACATTCGGACATAAACTGGACATGAAAGGGACGTCCTTTTGGATGTACGGTGCTATCTGGGAATTGTAAAGTACTTCTGTTGATCACTGTAAGTTTTAAACAATCTCGATGTTTAGTGCATGAATATGTATGACTTGTGAAAATGAAGCCACTAAAAAACAAATACATATGTTAATTAACTTACAAGGTTTTTATTATTATGGTTTTATAACATTTAGAACACTCTCACATATGTTTCCAATTTCTTTTTATAAATATCGTCTATATTAATAAAATAGTATTTTATTCTCATTTTGTCAAACAATCGGAAATTCAAAGCAGATCTAAGTTACTTTTACATTTACGAATTTAACTCGTTTATTTTATCTTTTATCTACATCTTATTGGTTGGTTCTCAAAACATGGAATAAGAATAAATTGTAATAGCGCACGTTTTATTAAAAATCGTTTATCGTGTTAAACAACAAAATGTAATAAACAGCCAACGAAGTAAAAAATTCATATTTTCTTTGCAATACAGTTACTATATACAATTATTTACTTATAAATGGATTGTACTGCGATATGAAATAGTGTTGATATGATTGTTCTATTTCTTTTTCAGCAATTACGGCTATGGAATGGCTCCCTTTCTTTTCAATACTGGCAAAAGCCCGGTGTAGTCCGATTAACCAAAGTATATATATTCAATGTAACAAATACCGAAAATTTCTTACAATTCCACGAGAAACCTAAGCTACAGGAAGTGGGACCATTTGTTTACAGGTATATTTTACATCAAATAATTAAAATGTTTTTTTTTTTAAAGTGAACTGAATACACTCTGGCTCTAGGGTTCAGATGTGTAGATACTAGAATAACTAAAGATTTTTAGGAACATTGCATTCTGAAATTCATCGCGATCGTTGTATTTACTTGGTACTTTTTTTTTAAATCATGCTGTAAGACTTTACAAAGGCTTTAGAGTACGTTCATTGTTTCAAGTATAAAGTGCAGTCTATATTAAATTCCCGAAACAGGAAGTCAATATTTTCTGTTGATAACAAACTTCTTATTTATGATACTTCTTATTAATGATTTCAAATCTATTGCAAGAAATGACGTATTAAGTATTCATTTTTAACATCGCGTACATAGGAGATTTTTCTTTTAATCTCCTCCTGTTCTATTACTCACTTATCTCCTTACAGAAGGTGATGGAGGAGATTAAAAGAAGGAAAAATCTCCTACATACGAGGTGTCAAAAATGAATACTTAATACGTAACTTTGAGAAGGGTCATCAGTAACTGGCATTTGAAGTGTAACATAAATTGATAACGCTCACAAAAGTAAGTGTAGAAGCTTTTACAACAGGATTCAATTAAATAATTACATACATAATATTTTAGCGTTACATACATACTTCGTATAATGCAAATTTCAGTGGAACGAACCGTGTAAAAACTGCGACATGAACGAAACTTTCAATTTCGGATTTTCATTTTTTTAACTATCCCAATATAATCCTTGGGCATTAAGGAATACGCGCTGCGATTGATAGCCAACGTTGCCGCGGGAACTCGGCTGGCAGACTGGCGCTCTGCTGGCCGGAATTTTTCGTTAATATCTCGTTAACAAAGCCTCGAATAACATTTTTGCTAAGTAAAACCTTTTTCAAATCACCTCATGAATCTCCCATTTCCGGGTCCTCCAACACTTTTGTAACACCTTGTATATGCATATACAGTGAACTCTAACTATATTGCCAATAAACATATTGCCACGCTAGGCACGTCCCCTTCACACGTACTTTCGAGGGCACCAATTTGCTCTCCCACCACGTTGCGTACGCCGGCGCACCAGCACGGTCCAACTATTGCGCAGGCGCGGAGACCGTGACTATGACGATAGAATTTAGGGAGGGGGCTCTTAACCCATTGCCATTTTACTCCCCTGCAGCCCTGATTATGGCAATATAGTCAGAGTCCACTATATGTATACAGGTGAGAGAACGAATTGCTCGAGATGGGGAAGTGCCTCGCGTGGCAATATGTTTAGTGGCAATATAGTTAGAGTCCACTGTTACTAATGTCAGTTCAATTTCAAAAATGAATACTAATCTTACATTATGCAGGGAAGACATGGAAAAAGTAAATATTGTTTTCCATAACAATGGCACTGTAAGTTATCAACACAAGAAAATATTAAACTTTGTACCAGAGTTGTCGCAGGATAAAGAAATGAGACTAATGGTACCGAACATTCCATTACTAGTGAGTAAACTTTTATTAATTAATTTCTGCATTTAAGATCATTTTATTTACTGCAATTACATCTATTGCACATGTGTAATTACAGATCAATGAAATTTATGCTTTTCAGACTCTGTCAACGCAAAGCAAGAGTCTACCTCGATTTATTACTCTAGGATTATCCATGTTTTTGAGCGGGATGCACATGAGTTCGTTTGTTCCTGTAACTGCACAGGAACTTGTTTTCGGATATGACGATCCATTAGTTAGTATTGCACATCGATTTTTTCCAAAAACGCGGCGCCCCATGAGTCAAATGGGTCTTCTTCTTGGAGTAAGTAATATATAATAATAACTGTTAACCCTTTACCTACTACGCGTCATTACAACGGCTTTCCGCAAAGTGATTATTGAGAGGTTTAGCATGAAACGTCATTAGAATGGTTTTCTTCTATACATTACAGGTATTAATCTATCCTATGCAGTTCTATAGGTTATACAGGGTGTTTCAGCTAATTCTGCATCCCTAAATATCTCTTTCATTTTTAATGATGTCAGAAATATTTCAAACACAGTTTGAATGGTTTCAAAAGAGTTTCGTAAATAGAACATATTTTTTATCCCTTTTTCGAATTTTCTTAGGGTCACCGGTACTTCTTGGACGAAAGCATACACTTTTTTCTATTGCATTTTGTAGCACGTGTTAAGATACATTCAGATACATCTAACTTATGGCACTGAGATGACTTTGAACATCAAAATAAATTATGAAATTCTGGAACAATGTTAGACTGTTATGTGAACTAGACAGGGACCGTAAACAAAACATGTTTGTAATATCTAAATATTATACGATGACTGACGAGCAGTCAACAGTAGAGAAAATACTTTAAATGTAAATTCAACATTTTTTTCAGTATTTATAGTATCTAAAAATAATAAATTTATGTTATTCGTGACGAATTCATTGGGCTCTTATATCTCTTTATACAAAATTTTCATTTATCTTCGGAAAATTATATCGTATTTTCTATAAGATTAGATTTCATATATGGTATATATAGTAAATGATCTGTAACTGTAACGGAAAGTAATAATACTAATTATAATTTCAGAGAAATGGTACGATAAACGAAATATCTACCATTTTCACAGGGCATACCGACATGAAGGAATTTGGTTTAATAAATCGATTAAACGGATTAGATCGACTACCTTATTGGCCAAATGCGCCTTGTAATTCTATTCGAGCTTCGGAGGGTAAATATCACCAGTTTTTATACGATTATTTAGAAATACAGTCATTTGAAGTGATTGTTACTAATCATTGAAGCCTGCAAATGTGAGCTTCATAATTTAAGTTGTGTTTCAATTATATTTATATAGTTTATCATTATACATAGTCATTAATATTCTTCAAATAATGCAGATACAGCACTAAAATTAAGTATGGATAATGACGATTCTGTTACTATTAAAATGTTACAGATAATGTGGTTCTTAATTTTAGGTTCTTTCTTTCCACCTCGTGAAAAAACCGGGGCTGATATTGTTCATTTGTGGGATAAAGATATTTGCCGCACTTTGCCTTTGCAATATCGTGGACCTACTGAAAATTCAGGAATTAAGGCGGATTATTATACTCCCCCTGACATGGTGTTTGGACGACCTAACAAAACGGCTTTTGAAAATGAGTGCTTTTGCTCCCAGGACATGTCGACTTGTCCTTCGGACGGACTGCAAAATATTAGTCCTTGCCAGTATAGTACGTATGAATTCTATCTATTCTCTAGAGAAAATAGCCAACAAGAGTACAATCACTTATAAACTCAATTATGTTAAAAGCAAAACGTCCATAGCGTCAATTTATTTCTTCATATAGAATCACCAACTTTCCGCTTTTACCCCCAATTATGGAACACTTCATATTATCTGAAACTACACAATTGAGTGCAACTCGTACTACACATTGAAGTAATAATCGTTAGTTATAAAAGTAATGCTATGAATATAATTTTTTAGTATTACGTATGCATCGTATATTCAGTATCTCGTTTAGGAGAAGAGAAAACTTTCATTTTCGTGTAATTTTACATGTTTTACTTAAAAGTCACTCTATGACATAAGGAAAATCGGGATTCGAACTTTAAATGAATAAACACAAGTAAATATAAATCAATATGTTGATTTGAATAAAGTTAAAGTTTAACAAATTCAGTAATCACTGTTAAAGGTGTTAATTATGATCTACAAAAAGTATGTCGTGCAATGTAAATATCGATGTCTAGAAATAAGCGAGTGATTCCGAAATTTTTGTTGTCAGTGTACATCTGGATACTGCCAACGGATAAGATAGATCGAAATATAAAAAGAATAAAATATTAGTTACATTATATAAATCTTTGAAAATCGTTTTCCCTTGTTTCCTAGGTGCGCCAGTCTATCTTTCCTTTCCGCATTTCTATAAGGCGGATCCTAACCTTCTAGATGCAGTTGAGGGTTTAAAACCAAACCAAAAACTGCATGAAACGTACCTCAAGATTCAGTCAGTAAGTATTATAAAAATTATTTTTGATAGGAAAATAGTACATGCTACCTTTGCTCGATCTACGCGAGCAATATATTCACGAATTTGTACACGAAATACACCACATGTGGGTTCAATTCAAAAGAAGTTTATATTAAAAGTAAAGAATTTCGTGAACGTATCTTTTTGTCCATACTTATTTATGACGGAAAAAATTATGTCAGTTGCGTCCTTATTATGATACGCATGGTTGCTTACATAGTGATTTCCATTTCCTCAATCCCCTAAATTTCAAGTTGGAAAATGGTTTTTATTTTTGAATGAATTCTTTATCGTAAAAAAATATAAAAGTGATTGCATTTCAAAGACAGTGGACTTTTTAGCCATACATACTTGTTTTTTTTTAAAAAATGTGTACCCATTCAAAATTCAAATTGGTCAAATAATTTTTGAGTTACACAAGGTTAAAAAAGTTCAGTTGCAAAATAAATGTGTTTCAAGTTTTACAGGTTCACATTTACCATTATCATACACATTTCCGGTTTATACCGTCGATATTAAAACAAATTTTTTCAATGGAACCTTCCATGCATCGTTCTCAAATGTTGAAGTTGTCATCTTGTGGAAAAAAATATTCGATTTTGTGGAATCGTTACAGTTCCGTAACTATTTGAAAGATAGAAAAAAAAATATTCCCTTAGACATCATGAATTATGTAAACGTGTTGCATCGTGTAATATCAAAATAAAGTTACATTGATAAATATCATTTTCCGACATTAAATGTGACACATGCAGCAAAAGACACATACAGGGTGTTCACCAATATATGTAAAGTATTGTAGTGGTGAGTTCAAGACTCAGGACACAAAAATAACAAAAAGAAAAAACGTTGAAAAAGTGTTTAAATATAGTCCGATTTATGTCGGGTTTGGACTTCTTTTCATCAAGAGAATCTCCTACATTTATTCATAACATTTTTAAGAAAGTACACTGAAAGGAGTAAAAGTTTAAATTTTTGGCCTGATAACATCTCTACACGCCGAGGTTTCGAGCTTCGAGCTTCATGTGCTAGAGCCTCGGGTCTCCCTTGAGATCATAAATCTGTCACTCGAGCTCGTTCGAGTAGCTCGAACAAGCTCGAAGTTTTAGCTCGTTCGAACAAGCTCGGTTACCCACCACTACACGTAACTAACAGAATAACTTTGCAGAACAATAAACAGTGCGATGAATGTACTAGACATAAATATGTGATAAGTCTATCTAAAAATCAAATATCGTAACTCACAGTGCTTATGTTTATGAAATATCATATTAAACCGATTTTTTAGATTACCACTCACACTACCATGGCTCCGTACTGCAATCTTTTAACCAAATATGTATTACTAGATTGTAATAAATTGTATATCTTATTGCTTTATTTTTCAGAAACTTGGCGTGCCGCTAGAAGGAAAAGTTCGTTTACAATTGAACTTAAAAATCGAACACCAGCCACATATCGGTGTCGTGTCGAATTTTCCTGACATCGTGTTCCCAATTATGTGGCTGGAAGAAGGTATCGAGGAGCTGACACCCCCTATTCGCCGGTGGATTTATTTAGCGACAACATTCTGCGATATTGCTGTGCCTTGTACCTCGTATGGATTAATTCTAGTCGGTATAATAATCATAATTACCGTTTCTGCGAAGGCCTACAACAACGCGGTATTCACTCACGAAGCGATCGAGTTAGGTAAACGGACCATCAGAAGAGGCTCGATGTTGCTGGTGAATGGACAACACAGATTGTTAGTCACACGAGATTCATACGTTCTGCTTAATAACAGTACCAACGAAAAGCCAGAAAGGATAGCGGTGTAGTGCTTGTAGTAAAAATTTTTGTGAATAATACCCGAACAATGTTTAAGTCTGTACACTGCGTTGCGCGATGTCATACCGCCTCGCATAGTTTTAATCGTTTTTATACTGTACACCAAAGTTTTCCTTCCGATTACCTGAAGAGAGACGATGACGCATAACAATTACAATATCACGTATTTGGTGGATTCCCGATTGTTTCTTTGCGAACAACGTTCGATAAAACTAAATTTCATTTCATATCTGTGATTTCGCCTCCTTATTTATATTGTCGATGTACTGCAGCGCGAAATAGATCGTGCTCGAACGAACAAAAACGGGTACCAGATAATCAAGGAGGAACAAAACAAACAGGTTTCAATCAACTTATGTCTCGAAAGATACAATATATACTATATAAGAACATTGTGGCTCAACGTGGACAGTTGATGGACAGTCAAAATCTAGTGCAACATTATTAGTACATGAAACTATATATTAGATATTAATATGAACGATTGCTAAGCAAACAATTAGCTAGAATTTAATGTTTGTAGTTTAAAGTCGCATTCGAAATCTTGACAAGAAGCGACATTTAAAATTAAAAACGACGTTAAAAAATTACATGAGAAAATGCATTTTATATCGTATATAATATTTTTAATTTTGTGACTAATAAAACTTTCCTCAGGACATTTAATATTAAATAAACAAATAAAATTAATTAATAAATTTTTGTACAAAATGGATACACGATGTATTCCTTTATATTGAAACAATATGTTACTTATTGAGTTTTTTAAAAATAACAAAATGCATGTACCATTTAATGTTTATATACACGAAGTTTGTAATTAAAAAAAGGACTGTATTTAAAAATGTGTTCGAAAGAACTTCTAATAATTATGATTAAAAAATTAGTACAATTGAGTACGACGTGATTTCCAACAACTTATGATAGTACGCTCAGTTTGTAGTTCTATATATTTTAAATTAATCAATACAATGTATAGAAACAATTATTGATGATAATAAAATTTAATACTGAAATTTGGAAGCATTTTTATTACGTTTCATGGATATTGTCTAAATTATTTAATCGAGAGTTGTAAATGTATAAAAGGGAACAATTAAGAATACATCCCCTTTTTAAGTGACAACCCCGAAATGAAGAAATGAAAATTTCATTTCTACAAAAATATTCATTACTTACGTGTTTTCTAGTAGGTCGCGCAATGTTCGCACTTAATCGCCGAACAGTTACAGCCCGTTCAGACGATACTACTCTAACCGGCTGTCTCTCCCATCACTGATCAGTCCTTTTATTTTCCTGAACATTTGGGGTAGTGTAATAAGTATACATATATATTTTTGTAGCAGCTTGTGGCGCTAAATTTAAATAGTTGTTACAACACGCGTGAACAATATTGTCATCTAATAAAATAATAATAAAACATTAAAAAATGAATGCAGCTTTGCTAATTGCTCTGGACACTGGGTGGGATAATGTAGATGAAATTAAAATATTATTGGACGATTTAGGGCAACCTATATAAATAATTTAACAACAACAAAGCTCAGAATTAGATCAGAAAATGAAAACTATGCTGAGAGTATAATTTCGTTATACACTAATAATTTATTTAAAGAACATTTTCAGATGTCACGTGTAAGTTTCGTAGTATACATTTTTTAATTCAATGATGATAACTGCTTCAATTCAAAGTGAATACAATAAATAAAATATATGACTCATATGAATTATTGGATATTACATTAAAAAAAAAAGATTAAATGTAGAACAGAAATTTGTGAATCATAGATACTAATAAACAAATGTGGAAAATATTGAATCTTGTTTTGTATGTAAAATGCCGTTGTGGCTGTATTGTACCTTGTTTATGCGTTATGTTGTTTACGTTTGTCAGTTCACTGGGTTCCATCATATTGAATCATAATGCGTTCAGCAAAAGTAGCGTAGTTTATTTCCGCTACAAAACATAACGATCGCTCACTAAACATGTTGAGAAATTATTAACAAGTATGCGGTACCGTTCAGCGCATATTCAGCGTAAAATCTGGTAAAATCTAGTGAGTCCGCTAAACGTAGCCAATGCCTCCACTACAACCGTAGGAGAATCCCCCATCAACAGCCCCATTAGAAAGAGAGAAAAGCTACTCCAGTTATTGTTCTCTCTCTCTCTTATGTCGACTTTATACCTACCATAATACGCGCAGTCTATTATATATGTCTATGACCCAGTCCCTGCATAGTACAAAACTGTACGAAACGTTTGCATCAGTTTGCATGTCGGGCGGGTCGAGTGGATGATGTAGAAATCGGCAACTATAACGGTTTTTAGCGTTAAAATCTGTGAAATACATTTTACTACGGAAAGTGAATACGTCGTAAGTTTTTCTAACAAAATTAAACTACTTTGAAATAGTTTGTTATGTTAGTACTCATGACTGACAGCTGGAAATTCTTCGACAAGTTCATTCCCTGATACCGTTAAGAGAATAAATTTTATTTCTAGTGCGGTTTGTGTCTATTTAACATAACAAAACTATTATTTAACAGTAGTAAAAACTCACTCTTTGCATACGCGTTAGTGGATATAGTTTACAGAGATTCTGTAGAAACTAACGTCACAGGAGAGAAATCAATAATCGCACCAAACTCGATTGAAGTTCAGTTAATAAGTTTCATTAAATTCATAAGACTTTTCTAATTTTTATATTAATTTTTTAAACGATTGCTACATTTTTTATAATCAAATTATTTATAAATATTGTTTAGGTATTTACAAAGTAGCACAATGATGTCTGACCGAAAAGCTGAATTAGAAAGAAAGAAGGCAAAGCTCCAAGCTATTAGAGAAGAAAAGGAAAGACGCAGAAGAGAAAAGGAACAGAAAGATGTAAGACATGTTTATTTAAATGCACTGTCTATATCTCTCGTGTAACATGTAAATATGTATATATATATATAAATATATTTGTATATATTTTCCATAAAGGTTGAGGAAGCTACGGTCCGTGCTGCAGGTGCAGATAAAGATCATCGTAAGGAGTTGGATGCTATGCTATCATCTTTGGGTGTAGCTCCAGTGTCAGGTAATCAGTTTTATTTTAGGATTTACTTAACGTTCTTTCTTTTATCATTTATTTTATTTGCAGATGTATTATCCAGTTTATCTAGCATGAATTCATTAACTCCAGAACAAAGTGCTAATGCTACTCCTGATGCTAGTTTGCAACCATCTAGTATAAATTCTGCTCAAAGGTAGTTATGACAATATTTAAATCTTTTGCTTTTAGTATATTTATATCTGTGTTCTTACCTTTACATCATTCTTTTATAGTAGTGCTGGAAGAAGAAAAAATCGAGAACTTACAATAGTGTCTGTGGCGCATACTAATATTCCACCAAAAGAACCGGTGGTCTATAATAAACAAACACAAACAATTCAAACAACGCACACATCTCATGACGGTGAGTCTTTGTATTTATTTTATAACCTATTTATTATAGCTTCTTGTAAATTTAAAGTTATGTTTAATTATTAGAGAGCATCTTTTATAATGTACACCACAGCACTGATATTGATCAAAACGTGCAAACATTTAATATTTATATTAAAGAAGTAAGAAACATTCATTACATATACATAAAAGCAACAATTGCTAAAAATATAGGATATTTTTTGAGGATGAATTCTGCATGTTAAAATAATGAAAATAATTTATATACATCATATATACATACATATATGTATACATATAGTATATGATCACGCATTAATGCCCAGCCTAAGTCACTTTACCTAGACACACGAAATTTGGACGGTATACTTTTTTTATGACATAGACGAGGAATAAAAAAGGATTTTTGGAAATACGGACTTTAAAGGAGTAAAAAGGGGATCAAATTTTTGTTTAAAAGAAAATACAAAATTTAAAAGAATAAAGATAGCAATCACTTTGTAGTATTGTATACCACTGAGCTTAACTTTCTCATATACAAGCTTTTACCTTTAAAATTAATATGAAAGACAAACTCTCCCTTTACATCGGATACTCAAATTATCTATCTAATCAGTGAAGTATCTATATAAATTAAAAATAAAAGTGAAATAAAAATACATTATTTCACAGAAACATTATTTTAACATATAGAGTTGGTTTTTGAAAAATTCCTACAATTTTAGTAACAGCTAATGCATACAGATATTAGATATCCTATTGTAATCTACAAATGTACATTACAAATTAAACATATTGCTAATGAAATATATAAAGTTATTGAAATTTATTCAGGTTATTCTTCGATAGAAGATTTAATTTTAAATTACTTTTGAATAATGTTGATTGAAAGTAAGTGGTATAAGATGTGTAATATATTTCATTTAGAGTTTAGATATCTCAATATTTCACTGTATAATTTCATCAGAAGTTATATATTTTATGCTATTCTTAAAGTTTTTTCATTATGTCTCATTTCTTTGTATAAACAATTTTCTAATATTACACTAATTTCTTTGATCTACCTTAGTTTTGTATATTCCAATTTTTGGAAACATTTATTTATAGATTCATATGGAATATGGTGTGTGTTGCAATTTAGTACATGATATACGCAGTTAGTTACAAAATAATGGTTATACAGATATCTAAAATCTGTGTAGTCTGATGTTAGGTTTGAGTTAGGCCTTATATTATTTTAGATTTAACATATTCCAATCAAATTTGATTACCTTTCTAGCTATGAAAAATTCCCAATAATATATTAAAGTAGCAATTATAAAACAACTTTTAGTATTTCATTAACATTTGTTACATAAGGACACATTTATTTTTAATTAACGAATTTATGATACCCATTTTAAGAGCAATAAAAATGACTATTAGCCTGTAAATTAATACTTTGTAATATCAAAGAACATTTTTTTATAGTTTTTGATGTTACGCATTACTGAAGAATGATCAAATTCAATGTGTTCTTATTAATTGTTGAATAGAAGTCTTTATAATTGTTTTTACATTGGTTTTTTATTCTTGTTTACTTGTAATAAAAATTAATTTGAAGGTAAAATCAAGGTTTAAATAAGTTGATTCTTGAAAATTGCCATTTCATAGTGTACATACTTACAATATTTAAAAAGTATTGTCCCTTTTAGGTCTAACTAAACTTTGTCAGTATTTCCTTTTAATAATGATTTGTTAATGCATTCATTGACAATGGTAAAGTGGGTGGTGTATATGGAAATACAATACATAAATGAAAAATATATTCCATTAATGACATTGTATTATTAATATACTTTTAACATATGTACCCAGCATTAACATTATGGTATAACATTTTAATTAATAAGGTATATTGATTGTAATATTCAATCAGACAGATTAGTTGAGTTTGTTTTACTTTAATTTTAATCTCATTGTGATAATAATAAGAAAGGACTTGCTACTGATATTGTGTTTTATAAGTAATTGTAGCTAATGAGGAAACTTACATATTCTTGAATGTATTTATATACAAATGGCATGTTATTTATTTGTAACAATATTGTCATTTTATTTCTCCATTGTGTGTATTAACTTTTGTTGAATTATCAAACAATTTTCAACACTTTTTTAAACGAACAGAGTCATTATGAAATAATTTTTTATTCACTACTATAAATATAAGATTACCTATGATCTGATATTATACTTCGCAAGAAAAGAAGTTTTAGAAATGTTAGTTTAACTGCAAATGTGCATGTATGCAATATCATTATAATTTATTTTCTTGGAGAAGTATTCTTGTAGGGAAGTGCAAAACATACTGACAATTATTTGTGAACTTTAAATTATGTATGTAGGAAGTATACCAGTAGATATGAATAACATTTAATCAACAAATCAGGTTATGGATACAAATATTGTTATTCCTGGTGGTGGCAACAACTATGTTTTTTTATATTTCATACTTTCATTCCATCAAACCGCAATTTCAGTTAGTTATTATAATTTTCAATTTTTCATCTTACAGTTAATTTAATGTTACAGCTTATTAAATATATGCGTATTTTTTACTGTAACTATTATATAAACTATATACCATGTTACATTCAGCGTGTTTTCCACTATACGTCTCTTCTCATACCACCTACTTTACTATGAGCTTCTTCTGAGAACATAAAATTTGAGTAAAGTATTGAGTTGTTTGGAAAGTTCGTAGCGTTTTTGTTTCAAACAGAATTACAATCTCTATTTTTCGATTTATATCATGTTCTTATTTACTACATTTTACAATTTTCTCCCATTCTTCAATTAATTTTAGCAGTTATATGTACATAATTTCGATTGTGTTTTAACTAAGAAAAACTTCTCAACTTGCTTCTATGCACATGGATTTTGTTTTAAAATATTCTAGTGATCTAAAGGAATAATCATCTGATGGAGTAAAGTCTAATTAATCGGGGAAAAGGTATAAAATTTTCCAGTCGAGGTAGTGTAATTTCTTCATAAGTTTGATAAAATCTAATGGCGATGAATCGACTTTGTGTTTATTCAAATGTTTCGTTGGTATTTCTCACAGGAAACATAATAAGCAATGAATAACTTATACAGCAAATACATTCAATTTACACCTGGAAAATAGTACATGTTTAGCACGATTTTTCCTTTGTCCAGTAAAATGGTAACGAAAACGCTATCTTCAAAACGTTATGAACTTTCCGAACGACCAAATACGTTGCCAAGCAGTCTACTAGCAGTAATATAATCTATATTTATAATTTTTTACTTAGAAGTTTCTAATATAAACATGGGGATATTCCATGTTATATGCACGTCTTGATACCTAACTGATTTTGCGGTATTATTAAATATACGCGTATTCCATTGTCTTGCGATACAATTGATCAAATCAACCGGTGTTGGACACAAGGACTGTCCGCATCTTCTTCTGCATACACCATCTACTCCTCCTGTTCAACATCAACATCAACTCACTCTTACTCCGCAGGCTACTTTGAGATTGACTGGTGGCGTCCCAGGAAAGGTGGGTCTGCACCAAACTACCTATGTATGTTCTGTCATCTTTTTTATTACCCTTCCTATAATTGTTGTACAACAGTATACGATAGAGGTAGATACATTGCTATCCATATTCAAAATCAGAGGTTGTAGAATCAAATCTGAGATTGCTAACTTGGACTAATGTTTATAATCAGTTTTTACATATCAGTGTTTATCATAAGGAAAGAGCAATTTGTCTTGAAAAAAACAAACAAATTCTCTTGGTTCTACAGCCCTAAGTATATGGTAAATGGTGTACATGGAAATAGGTCTGTATATAGACATTAAGAAGTTTAATGGATATTTTTATGTGACGCATAAATATAGAAAGTAACCATCACTTCAAAGCTTTTTAAACATAGAGATCAATTTAAACGAAGCTATCATTCAGATTCTAAGAACATAAAAATATTTCCATGTGCAATGTGTATTTGTTTGCAAAAGAAGCTTTTAACACGCTTTAAATAATATAATTATGTACTAACAGTTTATGAAAGTTACGCGATAAACTAACTTTAGGCGTCCTGTTTGTTGGGAAAATTTGGAAATTATTGTCACAAAGTCAGTGTACCTTGACTCATGCGTGCTAGGATTAAATTTATTGGACGAACAAATCAGTTGCTATTGATGCTTTGTTAGTTTATAAATATGAATATGTGAAGTTATTCTTGTTATCTTAATAGTAGTAGTTACAGAACATATTAGAAGTTTAATGTTGCAATATATTTTGTTCAGTATTTCAAAAGGAATTCCATAATGACAAATGTCCTTGTCATAACAATTCTTTTGCCATAGTGCACTCAATGTTTTAACCAAAATTAATATTTTTTCTGATATTTATATTAACATTTATTTCTGAGACACTTAGGGGGGTGGGCATAAGTGTGACAAGGGATGTAAGTGAGATATTGAATATTGTTAATATCTAAGCAGTAAACATCCATTGGTAGTCACTTTAAGTATTTTAAGTGTTTTATTACTCCACATGAAGCAGCAAATAATGTATCAATCAAACTCAGTGGTAGATCATATGTGGTATATCAAAGTGTTGAATTGTGTTAAGGACTCAAATTCCATTAATCAGAACATGTTTCAATAAAATAAGAAGCATTGAATATGTATGTTTCCTCGTACGTGTAGGAATCACCGCACCGCACGATATACAAATTTAAAAATCTATACCCACCTATCTACATTCAGCAGATGAAACTTTTTTTTCATTTAACACAATTACGAATACCAAAGCCTTATTGATATTCATTGCAAAACATTTTCGCAAAGAATAATTGATTTATTTTCTTAATGTGAAAATGTTTTTATTTCTGGGAGTTGTGCAAACTCTAAAAAAGAAATTGTTGTAGGTAAATACTTTAATACACGTTGATATGTATCTTTATAGTCTTAATACTATGTATTGCGTATTTTCCCAGAATTTAAAAAAAAATTGTTAAATGTTTTTATTTGTAAAGATGTATGGTCTGAGTGTAGAGAGGTGCAATTACTGTAGTGCATTCTTACCAGATTGTAATGAAGTGCAATTTTTTTCCCTCCCCTTCTCAGCTCATGCATTCGACTATTACGGTAAGTTATGATTTCTCTTGGTTTTCAACAAGTTTTAGGTTCGCATATAGGTTTAGCTTCATTCCGTTTATTCTTCAGGATTATTAACAGTTAAAAACACTACCTAAATGACAAATATGTACAAAATACCAAGTCAGTGTAAATACATAATTGTTGAGTTAAGTTTTGAAGCAACTTTTTTACATTAGAATCAGTTTTAAAGGTAAGAGGTTTTTACCATTTGCTTGTTTTCAACAAAAAGCAGTTAAAGAATGCACTCTCTCTTCTTGTCTTAACTGCAAATATATAGTATTGATAATATAGAGAGAAAAAGTGTCAGTTTTGAAATTTACACGAGATTCAATTATGTAGTAATGTAGAAGTGCAATATGACTCTCCACCCAGGACCTTATATATCTTTGCTATCTTATGAATTGCTTTATACCTTTTGGCTCTTTACTTTTTTGTTGATCTACTTTCATTGGGTGTATTTACCTTTATGTACTGTATCGTTACTTTTTAAATGCTTATCTGACATCCCGACTCTCAAACGGAAATGTTTTGACATTTACACATTTCTAAGGGCACGCACTCTAAATATCATTATTTTTAACAGTAATTGTGTACTCTATAAATTTTTATTCTAAACTAAAACCAAATACGTTACTTTAAGTAATTCGTATCATGCATTAAATATGAATAAAATGTCACAACACCGTCTCCAACAGGAAAATTATTACAAAATGGATTTACATAAAGTAGTTATATATTTCTTTTTCAGAATACATATTAATGAAAATGCTTTTATTTTAAAAAGTGTCTAGAATATGAAATGTTTTATTTAATATACACATGTTATGCTCATTAAATAATAATTGTATTTACAGCATTTACCAACTACCTTTGGAGCATTAAACTGATGATTCAAAATGTCAAAAAGAATTATCTAGTATTCTATAGAAGTCTATCAATTTATGTGTTTAAAATTAATATTACAATACAATATTTAGTATTGTTATTAATTATCATGCATCATTTTATAGAACGTTAGAATATTCTCTGAATAAAGATAAATATATTGATACATACAGAACGTAAGAAATCATGTCTTTTAATGAAAGTTTTTGTACATGTAATATTCAAATCGTTTTTCAAACCTGCCAATATTATTTGAATCAAGGACTGTCAAATATTTAATGAATGAATATCCATTGGCAAATCTTGTCACAACTTAACGCACCTTCCGGAGTTCTCGGCACGACGTCATGGTTGTTTCGGTAAATTTTGAAACCTTATGGAATACTAACATGTGAAAGGGTGCTATGGTGCTTGGGCGGGTGAATATTGTTTGTAAATTTTCTGTTAAAATAAAGAAAATATGTGGTGAAAGGTTCTGTGGCTTAAGCGTTCAGCGTTGCAAAAGAACAGTCCGCTGTCACTTATGAGGACTCCAATTAGTATGATTATGTACTTTAAAGGCAGATGTTGTTTCTTAACAGCACTATTTTTATGAAAACAACGTATATGTATAGTAAAAAAGTCAATTAGCAAAAGGTGGACAAATGTCTTTATCTCGACGTATCTGTTCCGAATTAAATGCATAATTTATTTTATACTGTTCATTAATACATGTTTTGAATTTGAGGGAAAATTTTTTTATTCATATCTTTGGAATAAACTAACGGGTTTGAGTAATATATGTATTCGCATGAATTCTTAGTCGGAGATGTCAGTTCAATTATATTTAAATATTTAAATTCCACGAAACTTTTATTTTTCGTTACTACGAAACTTCTTTTTTTTTCGTTACTAAGAATACTTATTTTCAAAATTTTCGAATATTGAGTTTGTCGTGAATTTATTTTGAAAAATAATGTTAGCTTTCCAGGTTCAAAGTAAATTTGTGTTAATGCCGTCATAACTAAAATAATAATGATGGGCTCATTATTTATAATAAATATATAATGTTTTTTTAACTGAAATCTATTATAAAGCCTAAAGGGATTGGAGTTACGATACGAATGCAATTACAAGTGATTAGCGTCTTTTAATAGTGTTACATTAAACAAAGAAAGATGTAATAACTTCGGAATAACTACAGGGGACTTATAAGAATTTGTTTGGATACTCTTCGTAGGTAAATCCCTTTAGTGCATCTTGTTGAGAAACATAATAGAGCTAATAGGGTATACTACGTGCATGTTAATAGATGTATTTATAATTACTTACTGAATATAATTGCTATTTCAATCTTTCTACTTAATTGTTGATGTATGTTGCATGGTAAATGAAAAATATTAACAGCACTATTTTATACATTATTGCAATTGTTCTCGATTAAAAACGGTCTAATTGGGAATATTTTGTGGGCGTATATATGTAAGGTACGCATATGATTGTACCTTATTTTTAAATATATCATTAATTATTAATGTTCGGTTGATTATACATTACATACATCAATAATTTCCCACGAAAGACATGAAATTAGAATGAAACACAACTAACCTAATGAGAAACACAAGATTGATTGACATTTTCTTTTCCCTCCTTCAAGACGAGTACAATCTAAATCCTGGTTTAGAATGGGAGGACGAATTTACAGGTAGGTAATCCTCTCTAGAGATGATTTACTCTACCTACTTATGTATATCACGTATATGTGAATTTGATTCATTTTTCACAAAATTGCATTTGAAAGTAATCTATATTCCACTTAGTTTTCTTTAAATTGTCATCACCGTATGCACTAAAAGGAGGGAACTCGTACTATTAATTTACACTGAATATTGCTTCATAAATGATTGGGTAGTTTCTATGGATTGTTATGTAACTGTAAAAAATGTAGCTCCGTTTCTTATGCATGTATAGATAATATATATTTAGTTTTATCACGTATTATTCCTTTCTTTTCACTGTAACGCATGATTGAAGCAATACGATAAATTACTGCCACCATTCTCGTTTCATTAAATACTTAAAGAATATTTCTTCGATTGAAAATTAGAGATTCAGATTATACTGTATTGCACTGTTTCTACAATATTTTTTTTCTTACGTAAGTTATACATTCACTCGATGCTGCATGAGACTTGGGAAGTTGCGTTAATATACCTCCACTCCGTTTAAACATTTATATTTTTACTTTTCTTTCTTATTCGATGCAATTTTGATTGGTCTGATCATCGTGTTTCTTAATTCGCTAATGGGTACTAGTGTTAGAAAAGTTTTTTTTTTATGACTATTACGTCCTAAAGTAATATATTTCTTTCATACTAATAATTGATTAGTCCTTTAATTTCTTCGGTTCATTCTTTCATTTCACTTATATTTTATACCGAATAGAAGGGTGGAGAGATATCATTTCAGATAATTTTCATGATGATCACAAACATTTTAAACAAATCTCATGTTTTATTTGTGTAATCCACCAACAAGCAGTCCACCTTATGTTACTAATATTAACGCATGCGATTCGGTATGACGATTGCTCTTCCAATATTCTTTGTGATTATTTATTTTCCAATAAATTATCTTCCTATCGTTTGGATACAGTTTTATAAAAGCTTTTTAAAGAGAGTTGCATCCCTTATGTTTATTCCTGGCGCTTGTGCAATTTGTATATTTGTCAAAACTTTTTTGTTTTATTCGTATTAGCATCGGTATGAAACAATGTCTCGTTACACGCTATTGTGCAGGTTTTGTTGTATAAATTTCGAAGTTGATTGCCGATGAAGAATTGCGTGCCTTATGGAACTGTTTACACGAATTGACAGCGTAACTATTTTCTTTTTTTTTTTTTCATTCTTTCTTTTCTGTGCGTGTGTTTATGCAATAAGGTTCGTAGAATCATTACGTATTGTCGTATACTTTGTACGAGGTAGCGAATGCAGTGATATTACGAGGTGACACAAGCTTTTATAAAAGAACGTAGGGAATCGAACTTTTAAGTAGGGCAATTGCCAGTGGTAGATAAATGTATCGAAGTTAGGGTATTCGTGGCGGAACCAGCTTATTCACCACAGTTTTGACATTTGATGATGGCCAAGCTGAAGATGAAGAGAACAGTTTGCCGCACATGGACGGTTTCCAAAGCAAGCTCCCTCCTGGGATTCTTCCGCATGGTTTGCCGCAAGTTAAAGAAGTGCAACCCGCCGTTACGCAAGTGGAGCAAGAAAAGGAAAAAGAGAACCCTAAAGAAGGTAAAGCCTATCAAGAAATATGGATAATAAACTGTGATCATTTTTAGAAAGCACTCTAGATTTTGATATAGGGCTTATTCTGATAAAGTTAGAGAAAATATCTACAAATCGTTCGTACAGTAATCTTTCAAGAGGCTCACTTCGTACTAATAATTTCCAGTACGAGAACTCAGCGAAGAAGAGAAGCAGATGATTATACTGTCTGAAGACTTTCAACGATTTCTTGATCGCACAAGTCGAATTGTAGAAAGGGCATTGGGCGAATCAGTCGACATTTATACGGATTACACTGGTAATTTGGATGGCGAAGATGGAATGTGAGTCACCACAAATAATAATATCAAATGTTAATTGTGCTTTGTAAAGAGAGTCCTCTTTATAAAACATTATAATTAGTGGAATGAGCTTCAATTAATATTTCTATCGGCAACACGATTTTTAGGGATGAGAAAAGTCATCAACGTTTATGGTTAAACCGATCGTTCTTTTGCGATCGATGGTCTCGTAATCGTTGCGTAACTTCTATGGATTGGTCACCACAGTTTCCAGAACTGCTCGCGGCCTCTTACAACAATAATGACGATACTCCAAATGACCCTGATGGGGTTTGTTTAGTTTGGAATACAAAGTTTAAGAAAACAACGCCAGAATTTATTTTCCATTGTCAGTCTCCAGTTTTGTCGGTCACGTTTGCGAGATTTCACCCAAATCTAATCTTAGGAGGTACTTATTCTGGGCAAATTGTTCTTTGGGACAACAGAGTGCAGAAGAGAACTCCTATTCAACGGACCCCACTGTCAGCAAGTGCTCACACGGTTGGTTCATCCGATATTTCTTTAAGGGGATCAGGCAATCAGATTTGGTAAACATGTCACTTCTTTTTAGGAATTAATTACAAAGAAATTAATACAAATTCTGATTAGTACCTTTGGGTAATATTTACTAATACTATGAACTGTAAACAATTTTTTTTTTTATAATATATACAACATACAGGGTAGGTTAATAAGAACTACTATTTAACCCTTGTGTGGACAACCAAAATATTTACGGTTATTGAGCAATCGGAATACCCCTATTTTGTTAGATAGATAAACATACATAATTTTACTTTCATACTTTCCTGAAACTCTTAGTTTTCCCTTTCTATAATACATCAAGTGCTGTTTTACGCAAGAACATAAAAAATTGTGACAGGAAATTTAGATGGGCGTAACCAGGGAGGGAGAGGGCAGGATGGCACTTTCCCCCCTCCTGGACGGACAAAAGTCGCTTTTGCCCCACCCTACAAGAAAACAATTGGATCCCCCCCCCTTCCTTCCCAGAGTTACAAAATTTTTACGTAATATTTAATATTGCAGTATAATTTGAAACACGACCAACAACTTCTATTAACAAAACGCACACATTATCAACAATTTATGTCTTTAAAAACAAAATAAAGTGTGTCTGGTGACGTACAGCCTTTTTCGCTGAGGCAGTCGATGTGTTAATATTTTTGCCCCCCCTCCCCGTGACGGGGATGACGCCCTGACATCAGCGAATGATCAGTCAGAAAGCGACCGACAAAATACTGTATTATCAAAAATAATTTTGTTCAGTTTATAGTATTAATAAATAATAGTTACAATTTGTATTCATTTCATTATAATTCATTCTCAAAACCAGTTACATTTTTAGCAAATCTGACTGCCTAGTCCCCTTAATCATTTTGGGATTGTATTTTAATTATAAGAACATATTGACGAGTGTATTTATAGCATCCTGTATACTGTTTAAACGTTGTTGGAGCCCAAAATGCACACAATTTGATAAGCATTTCAACTGATGGAAAAGTGTGCTCGTGGAGTTTAGATATGTTGTCGCAACCACAGGAGAGACTAGAATTGCACACTAAACAATCAAAACCAATCGCTGCGACTTGCTTAGCGTTCCCACATGGCGATGTTAACAACTTTGTTGTAGGAAGTGAAGATGGAAATGTTTACTCCGGTAAATAATTTTCACAATCATTTAAGCAAGCTTTCAACTCAAAAGCATTTATCTGATCCAGATATTCTAAGAATCTTCCACATAAGAAATAGTATTTGATCTAATAAAAGAACGGCAGCAGGATGAAACATTGAGTTTAATTTCAATTTAAGGAAAGATCAAAACCAGTATACTTTGATGAATTATAGCATATAGATTATGTTCTTGAAAATCATTTCATATAATGTTATTCTTTTATTTAGCTTGTCGTCATGGTACGAAGGCTGGAGTCTTAGAAACATATGAAGGTCATCTAGGACCAGTTACTGGAATTAGTGCCCATGCAGTACAAGGTGGAATAGATTTTTCCCATTTGTTCTTAACATCGTCCATCGACTGGACTATTAACCTATGGAGTCTTAAAGAGAACAAACCCCTGTACTCTTTCGAGCATAATGGTGACTATGTTTATGACGTCGCTTGGTCTCCCACACATCCGGCACTGTTCGCTGCTGTAGACGATTCAGGCAGATTAGATTTATGGAATCTTAATCAAGATACAGAAGTGCCTACAGCCAGTGTCATGATCGACGGATGTCCAGCTGTTAACAGAGTTTCTTGGACTCCAAGCGGTTTACATGTAACTGTAGGTGATGATACTGGAAAAATTTGGGTATATGATGTTGCTGAGGTAAGTTTATGTCGAACTATGCGACAACAATTATATTTACCACAGTATTTTATTTCTGTTTAATAAAAGACATTCAATTTTATAGACCATAACGAGTAACTCAGTAGGACTATATTAAGCTCAGCTCCTCTGATCTCATGAACTTCTACTGAATTGCTTGATTCTTTATTTGTATATGTATTACATTTTTTACTATAGAGGGTGAGTTTAAAAAGGTATCGTATAGTTGTTCGACCTATGCATTATATTTCACAACTAAGAAAGGGGTTCTAATAAATACGAATGTGTTTAAAAAATCTATTTTTTCGCCGACAAAACAACTACTTTCGACAAATTGTTTCCTCCTCTAGACCATTCAACTTTTTATCTGAAGCATTTTACATTATTATCAACGGTTTCGAAGATATTTTCGGGATTCGATTTAAATGAATCTCCCTTTATAATTCACCATTCGGAAATGTAATCTGTAACGCACTTTCGTTATTCCATGATTTTTGTCTCGGTCTGGTATCTAGGATTATCTTTTAAAGTTTCTGACAGATATTGTCGAACACTCTGTACATGTTTTGGTATCTCTGTTTAGACTCACTCTTTATCGTTACATTATGAGCGCATAATTAATCATCGAATTATTTAGAAATGAATAAATATAACCTAAACATACATCTGTTTAACTGTAGCATTTAGCACATCCAAGAATTGATGAGTGGAATAAGTTTTTGTACACGCAACAAGAATTGAAGAACAACAATGCAGACGAAGAGTTATATAAACTTAACATTAGGGAACCAACGTCTTTAAGTTCTAAACATCCTCTCCAATCGTTGGGTCCTCTTAGATAAAATAACTACTTTGTCTAGATAATATTACTATGTTCAAGTTAAATACCTTAAACCTTATAATCCCGTAAATATAAAGCATAATTATAACAAATTGTAAAAGAAGTAAGAAGAAATTATACTGCACTAATTGTAATTTAGAAAATTATGGACTACTCTGTATAAAGTGTTAAACAGGTGAACACATTTATTAGTACTTCATATTTATGCAGCTATTGTGTACTCAAACGGCTATAAAATCAACATGACCCGTAGAAACAGTTTATTACTAAACAAATTTAATGCAGCACACAGTTAAGAATATGTGCAACATATCTTTGTATATAAAGAATACCTACAAATTACATATACACACAGACGCTACTTAAAATGACAAATTGAAACAATTGAGATAATCAGAAATATGCACAATGGTATTTACAAAATTTAACAGATACATGATAAATAAAATGTAACCTATTTCATTCTTTAAGATGTTTCATTGCATTACATTAAGATTTTTTTTTTTGTGATGGCACTGCATCTTTATGCCATCAATCGTAACTAACGTGTTAAAGACAATACCGGTAGAATATTTATAAGGTTCAAAGTGTAATTTAATTTAGTAATTTAATCGCATACTTCGTAAAAGAATTTATTTTTATTTATATGCTTTCAGAAAATTTTAACTCTTATATCTGGTTTCGTTTACCTTATACTTCATAATATAATGAGAACAGCAAACTGTATTGAACAAACGTTATCGCTTAAATTTGTAAATATGAGATTATTTTTGCGTTATTATAAGCAGTGGGCTTTATTTAAAATGTGATATTGTTAAATATAGCTACCACGTCTCTATGTAAACCCCTGCTCAAGACAAGCATATTTTACACCATCTTCTTTTAGTGGCAAAACTGTCTATAATCCATTCTGTATCAGAGAATGTTTGAGTAAATTCAAAGATTAATAAATTGGTTGAATGTTTCTGTAACATGCATTTTTTAATTTAAGCTGCTGTAAGCAATAATTCTGTATGTAACAACGTAAGTTTATTTTCTTCGATACTACAAATAAAATTTTCTTTTCAAGCTCTAATTATTGATTTCATTTAACAAATTTGTAATATCAAATTTCGTTTTTCAGCAATACTATCTTTATGTACAACGCGCATGCCAATGGGCAGTCGCAGACAATAGTGCAAGTGTTGTGCCTCTCCGAGCTATAGTGACTTCGTAAAAACAACAAGCGTGTGGGTCCTTCACACTTTTAAGTTTTAAGTGTTTCGGTGGAAAGTCAAGCGTCCAGGGACGGCAAACGTATTTTTCGGGTAGTGGTTGTTGGAGCTTTAGAGGTATACGTATATCAAAAACAGATAAAATTTCCATTTCTTATCTTCTTAAATAATTTTACATCCAACGAAGAAAAAAAAATATTTCAAATTTAAAGGGTACAAAAAGTACGTCAGATGTGTTGTAAGAGAAAGTAAATGCGACTAAATGAGCCTCCTACCACTTGGTATCGGGAATTACTGAAATTTGTGACAAATTAATATTTAGCTTAACATTTATTTCAGTACTTGAAATAAATTTATCAAGTGGTAGGTGGCCTTTTCCCTACGCCACTTTTTTCTCTAGCGGAAGTTGAGTGCACTCGTGAGGGTACTGTACGGTCCTAGCAATCTACCGTCCAACACCTGTAGTTTTTACAACATTTCAATTGACTGTACGTGCCTACTTCATTAACCATATGATCATACCATAGTTATACTATAAAGGACAAATCGCACATCAAATCATTTCAATTAAATCATTATTCAAACAGAACTTTCAAATATGTCGTTGAGTTTGTTTTGAAATACAATAACAAAAATATGTAGTCACGTTTAAAAAAATTATATTGTTAAATTAAACGTATTTAACAAGGCGTGTTTTGTACTTTTTTTTATATGAAGTGTTAACACTATCTACATGAGTAAATAGATTCAAATTATGTCGTATTTGGTGTCATCTTAATCAGAAAAATCTCACCAGTATACTAGTAAAAGTTTCATGAACAACGAATCAAAAATAAAAAAGTTTCATCGTTGCAATAGCGTTGTCTCACCGATACCCGGGAATATAATCTTTCTTTTGGCTCGTTGATTTGGTATTACCTTTTCCTATTCATAAAAACTATTATTTACAAGATATCGAATACATAAAACATATCAATCTGCAAAGTATAAAATTTTGTGATAAGCATAATTTTGATGAATTTTAAGAACTAGTATACATACATGCAATTGGGTGAAATAAATCTGTACGATTAGTAATAAATAAATATATTAGTAATAAACAGTCCAGTACTTCTAGACATTTTACATGACCTGAAAACATTATCGTGGCATTTAACAATTGCATGCAAATTTTCTCTTACAAAAGTTAGGTAGCCAACAAAATTATGTGGTAAGAACTTTCGTTACGAAGCAATTGCCATTTCATGGAAATAGCGTTACAGCGGGAAGAAAGGGGGAAAGGGTGATTGTAGAGGGTTGGGTGAGTAGCATTGAGACACACGATCAAAGAAAACTTTTCTAAATTCAGCTATGGAATTAGCTTGACACTAATTTCATGAGGAAGCGTGGGCATGGCTAAGAAGCCAGGAAAAAGATTGACTGAGGGAGGGCGACCTCGCGTGATGTTTCGTACAGACTTCGCGTGTCGAAGTCTGATTTGCTTTGTTGAATCAAGTGTATACCGGCTGTTATATCGCGCAGAGTGGCGAATGAGATAGCGCATTTTGCCTTCTTTTATATCCAGTTACCTACTCCGACTTCATTATTTTCATGAACAATTAGATTTCCGATAAAATGTCTGGTTGTCAGTCTGTCCGTGATATTAGGGAGCACTATTACTGCAATTCTACTTCTTTACTTGTTTTTTAAAAATTAAATAAATAAGTGAGGCTCAAGTTGACGAAGAAGTGGAATGAAACTATTTCCTTTATTTATCAGATGCTTCCTTCATATGAAACTATTATCTTCCCAAGTAAGAAAGAATATGATACAAATAAAAAGGATAAAAGAGTATTGTTTAACAAGTTTATAAATTTGAATAGTACTGTACAGTTGTTATAATAACTTACAGTGTTATTCGTTGCAACAATCTGTGTAAAGTTTAAGCTTGATTGAATAAGAGGGACAGGAGCCCCTGGGCCCTTGAACGTTAAAATAATTATTTAAACGCACACAAAGTCGATTTTATTCGATTGTCTTCTAAGTTATTGATTCTATTAAAACACATGTCAGATAAAAGGTGTAGATCTAGACAAGCAGCGTCTTTTATATTCTACTACTATTTTCGTGAAATAAACATTTTTCGAACAAAAATAGAAAAACTGCCTCAAAAAATGGTTAAAATTTTTTTAATTTCGAAAATTGAAACGCGTCTTGATTATTTTATATCAATAAAGACTAACTATATGTGTATATTCTATATTTCGAACGCTAAAGAATAAAATTGTTCTTTTAAATTTCATTTTCAATACCTATTCGAATGGCAGTTACTGTTACCCGTAAAATTTAATACGACGCTCACATTTCATATTATCTATTTTCGAATGAAAATCTGGAGAAATTGTTTATATAACAGTTATACCTTCATGACTTAAAAACGTACATGACAATTATCAAATATTCACAGAAGAATGTAATTATTGCAATCAAAATGACGGGAAAATAATTTTATTTATTTAGTACAATTGCAATATTTTAGAATTAACAAACTTGATTCAAATCATCTCACGAGTCTCCATTTTGAGGTTCTCCAACATTTTTGTTACACCCTGTATATAATTATTGATTTTTTCTATGATGTTTCTAGAAATGTCTAGTTAAAAGAAATGAATATCCACATCCGGGAATATTCTGGATGTATCATGATGTAGGATAAAAACATGTGCCGACTTAGGTAATAAGATTCATTGTGTGTTGGAATTTGTGTAGAATGGTGTGTGGAATTGCAAGCGGAAATTGTATTTTCAACTAAAGTGTTAAACCATCTGTGTTAATCAGTTAATTAAATAAACCATTGTTTGTTAACACGCTCCGTTTCTACATATACATATACTATTATTTTCTACAAAATTATAAAATAATTGGGTTCAATATTGGCTGAAAGTTAGTATTTTTTTCTAATAAAGATGTCAGTGATACCTACTTCAATTTCAATATGAGTCAACCTTAAACAAAGATTTTATTACGAAATTACATATTAGAGGAAATTTAATCATGTTTTAAAATAATTGCAATAAATTACAATGTAATGTATAAGAAGTAGAAAAGTATCGATACTGTGGATAAAAATCACTGCTTACAGTAAATATATCATGTTCTGAATTCTTAACAGAAAAAATATATATTATTCTTATACAATATATATAGATGTCTCCAGGACGTGAACTTCATACGTCATTAGGATGTCCTATTTCAGACAGTTTTAAAACATCTTTAATAGGTCCAAGGACATTCAGACCTAAAACAGCTATAAAACAGACATCTTGAAGATGTTGTGTGCTATCTGGGAATATAATGAATGCTACAATTTTTCAACATAGTAAACAATAAAGATACAAATATTTATAACAAATACAATGATGAGTGAACTTTATTGACCATCAAAATTTAGGTAGCCGTTTCCAAAACATCGGAACAAACTGCATGTTCAGTACTGAAGGTGTAATCAAGTCTAGATGGCTCGTACTGATTGACAATTTTCCATGGCCTCTTCACCCCCTGGTACCCTTTTCTACCATCACCACCCCTCACACTATCCATCACTTCAATACCCTTTTGAAATCACGTTTCGTTTCTGTTGCACATAAAGCCGCGTTCATACTCATCAATACGGATACTGTAAATTTACTACTCACGTCGGCTTAATAGGAATTAAACCGATTCGTCCACATTCAGAACAAAGTAGTAATTGTAGTCTACGTCGTGTTTATTGAAATTACCAACAACATAAAAATAAGAAATAACAAATGAAACAAAAAGAACTGTTCGACACTCTTAATCTCGTAGATCGTAATGATTCAAAAATTGTTTAACAGATTTCAGGTTAAAATAGAAATGTTATCGGAACAGTCATCTACATCTTATTTTCTTGCCTAACAATTCTATAGCATGTTCTTATATCTCACAAGTATTCGATACTAGTAAGGAATAAACACACAGAATTCAAGAATAAGTTTCAAACGATACAAGCAGAATATTTAAATATCTTACCAATATGATATGATGTGGCGCTATTTAATGTGGCGTACGGGTACTTATTAATTTAATAAATTACAATTAAAGATCGCAAATTCATGCAGCGAATTGCGATTTAATTAAAA